CAGGGAACGAATAAGTCTGATCTTTGATCTGATGGTGATATTTCTGTCTTTCCAAATGGTTTTTTACTTGGTCATTGCTGCTGAAGTTTGCCCTATTCTGGAGAGTATTTCTGGTTTTGGTCCTTCGTCTGTCGCTATTGCACGTAGGTATCTGAAGCTGCGTACGGTCTCGAGCTTCTGATTGTTGACTGGATGTCCACTGTGATGTTTTTGCTGCTATTAGACAATCTAACACTTTTAAACTTGAAAATAGTTAAAATGCAGTTAAGAATTATTTCTTTAACTACATCTCCAAGCTATGGGATAAAAACTAATCTACTTCACTTCACTTTCACCTATCCCGAAGAGTGGATGTTCGTCGGGGCTTTTGAAGATTTGACCACCAGCTTCCTACACTCCTTCCGCTCTTCAGAGCGTGTCTTTGAGGTCCAGGCCTGTCCATTCCTTGATGTTGTCCTTCCAACTCTTCGTCGGTCTGTCTCTGCTCCTTTTTCCCTGGACGCTGCCTTGCAAGACCATCTTGGCAAGGCTGGATGAACGGGTGATGTGTCTATGCCATTGCTGTTTGCCGTTTTGCGTTTCCTGACCAAAGTGAGAAGGCCAGGGTATGGTCCAATTGCATTTTTGATCCGTTGTTTGACTTCATCTTTGCATGAGATACTAAGGATTTTTCGGAAGCATCTCATCTCCACAGCTTTGATCCTCCTTTCAAGGTCTTCATTCAAGGTCCAGAATTTACATGCATACAAAAATACTGACATGACCAGGAACGCATGAGTCTGATCTTTGATCTGGTTGTGATATTTCTGTCTTTCCAACTGGTTTTCAACTTGGTCATTGCTGTTGAAGTTTGCCCTCTTCTGGTTTTGATCCTTTGTCTGTCACTATTGCACGCTGGTATTTGAAGCTGCGTATGGTCTCAAGCCTCTGGTTTTGACCTGGATGTCCATTTTCTTGCTGCTGTTAGACAATCTAAAACTTTGAAACCCGAAAATAGAAAATCTAGTTAAATTGCTGTTGAGAATTATTTCCTTCACCACATCTCCAGGCTGTGGGATAAAAACTAAAGTAAACAACTACCAACAAGCTTCACGGTGTCGACACTGGACCCACGAAAATCTTCTGGTCTTTCGAGAACAGACGAAGAAGTTTTTACTCGTTTACGTATTTAGATATATGCTTCCGTGACCCATGGATATCTCCTGCGTTGAGATGAGAAACCGCTCTGTGTCAGATGCGATACAGACTTAACCATTAGACACATTAGAATGTCCGGACTTTGGAGAGACCCGAAGTAAATATTTTAAATGCACAAAATTAAAAGGTCCGTTCTCCGTCGTTGATCCAAATAGAATTCTCAAATCTATAAAAGTCATTAGCCTGTATTCTAAAATGTAGATAATTTTTGTTTTAAAATGTAAACATCTGTTTTTATTTTCTAATCTTTTTAAAACAATTTTTTTTTACTATGAGATGTTTTCCTTTACTTTAAAAGTAAAATAAAGCCGTGCAGTGAGCTGTTGTGAATGCAATCAACTTGGGGCCGTAAGAAGTTGCCAGCGCCGTAAAACTCTTATTAAACTAACTGCAGAGCGTTGCTCCATGATTTACAGCAGAGAAGGCTTCTGGATTCCAACTCCTAGATGGATCCGCCACGTGCCGTCTCACACACACACACGGCGATACACAAATCAGAAAGCTACTGTCGTTATGTGGACACCAAAAATTCTGCACACACTCGAAGTGTGTATAGCGTTGTGTATAGAAATAACGAAATAACAGCGTTATTCGGACCGGAACCAAATTCAAAAATATTTTAACACATGATGTAATTTTTGGCGGGAAATGCGATGGTGACCTTAAAACATTATGTGGACGTCTACATAATGGGGCATGTCTGCATAACGTGAGTGTGCGAATATACTTTTGTCTACATAACTACGCAAACACACACACACACACACACACACACACACACACACACACACACACACACACACACACACACACACACACACATTCATTACCGTGTGTAATTGTAGCACGCATTCATAGAGTTTAGGGCGAAACGATGTAAATTGCAAATTCACATAAATTTTGCCTTTCCGACAAAGCATGACATGGACTGTCGTCTATACGTTCTTTGTCAGTTTTTACTAAGGACCTAGGCTACTAACTGTATAACCTCCTAATTGGTTCTTACTCATTCCTTGAGCGTCTTGACTGTCGCCATTTGACTTGTTCCAGCTAAAATATTTTGACAAGGAAATTAATACTAGATCAATTTGCTTAGAGAAGACAGTTTAAAAAGTCAATTATGAGCAATAGCTTTCACATTATTAATTAATTAAAATTTAAATGCATTTATGTGAAAAGAATTTCATGCAATACGGCCCTTCGTCTAGGCTTCCTCAGCCCCAGACCATCCAGCCCGCACGACTGGCCTCGGCATTGGAGGCCTACCATGTTCCCGGAGGGTCAATGCGAAAAACGGGGATAGACTATGGCGTTGGTGCGGGTGATGGAGCATTATCGCACTGCTCTCACTAGACTGGCCTACAACGAACCTTACTTAAATGCAATGCATTTTTGTTGTTGCAGCTTTTATGTGAGAGTTTATAGGCTCTTATAACTAAAGAAGATATCACCAGTGACAGAGTATCAATTCATAAATATGAAAATGAATTACGTTTGCATTTTACCACAAAAAAGACCGTGGCACACTAGTGGGATAACTTTTGTTCTTCACTTGCAACATCGTTCTCATTCTACATGTTTCAACAAATATGAAAGAAAATTAATTTCACACACACACACACACACACACACACACACACACACACACACACACACACACACACACACACACACACACACACACACACACACACACACACACACACACACATATATATATATATATATATATATATATATCAGGGGCGGCTCATGGGATTAAAAAGTGGGCGTGCACAATAAAAGCAACAGCAGGTTGAAGATAGTCAAGGGCACAGTAAATGGGATGGTAGGATCTTTGAGTTGGTGAAGGAGGACCTTATGCTTTTATTTTCATTCTCTTTGCTGGTCGCTTTGATTTCTAGATCTAAATCTGTTTGTTAACTAAACATCAATTTCCTTTATTCCGCATCGGAACTGAACACTCGAGAAATAACTTTCACCACTCCACTACAAAACCATTCATAGGCACAACACATAGGGCGGTGACTTAAGTATGTCACGTTCACCCCCCTCAAGTTCACGGTCACAGAGTCGCGTAAAATAGCGGCAAGACAATGAACCAATCACAATTCACTTGAGCACTCCGCTGGATTGCTCCGGGGATCACATAATTTGGGCATTGAATAGTGTACAGGCTATCGCATTTATTTTTAGACTGCCTACTGTGGGCTATGTTTCATGGGTGCACATTTGAGATGTGCCATCTTGTTAAAATATTAATGTACCGCCAAATTCGGTACGAGTGACGTCATCGCTTGGGTTATCCCAAAGAGCGATTTATATTTTGCTAGTGTTTATTTCTGACGTCTTTTATTTCATGTTTGTGGGTTCTTTTCGTAAAATAACATTAACAAATTTTGGGCGGCACTGCACAACCGTGCTCTATGGACGAACCACGCCTGATATATATATATATATATATATATATATATATATATATATATATATATATATATATATATATATATATATATAAATAGAGAGAG